TGTTATTCGTGACAACGTCAAAGCCATAGAGCAGCGTGTTGTAAAACTGGCTCTGGAAGCTAAATTAGGAAATATTATTATAGCACTTGGCTTTATAGGCAGTGTAAACCACCTAGAACCATATCACCCTAATTGGGCATAATTAACACATTATAACATACAATATATATTATAATCTACTTTCTGACTTTGAAGAATTGTGGAAACTTTGATCCCTTGACTAGAAAACAACAATAACAGCCCAACCTGACTGGATAAAAGATGGAAGGCCACCAATAGCTGGCTACCAATTCAATCTTTTTTTTTTCTTTTCTTAGAAAGAGGTTTATACTATAGGTATGACCAAAAGATCTCTACCCTCCCTTGTTTAGACATCGATTATATGTATTTATTTTTATTTGGTTGTAAAAAGAATTGCATGGTATTTTAAAAGAGTTTCATGACCGCCCATCTTAAAACAGCCCTGGGTGTCTCACAACAATAAAAATATAAAAACTATAAAAACATAAAAGACTAAAACTCAATACTCCTGATCATTCTCCTGGAGTGACGCATAACAACTGTCAGAGGTCTCCATCTCTTGACCCAAGAGCCAAACCTTGATAGCTATTCAGTGGGTGTCGGAAGATGTGGGGGGGGGGGGGGGGTTTTGGGTTTTGGGGGGGGGGGAATTTGGTCCATGAGGTAGGAAATAAGGAGGAATCTAGGACTCCCAGCAGACACAGACATCAAAGATCACCTAGCAAGGGGTATGTGGTTGGTATCATCTTACCATAGACACTTGAAAGTCGGACCAAGAGTTGTTGGGTAAAGAGGCGGTTGGCTCTATCAGCGTTGTAGGGAAGAAAGAATTATAATGGCCGGTGGCCCCTAGAAACAGACTCAGAGCCAAATTGAAAGGCAGTGTGAAAACTGGAAGGTCCCATTTGCTGAAGAGTGAACTTAAAGCGCTGGTAAAGATAGGGCTGAAAAAGAAGAAGAAGAAGAATGATTGCAGATCAATGCAGAAAGGGTGCAGTCATTTTT